ACACGACACCTGTACCTCCGCATACTACAGTTGCTATTAACAAGGCCTTTCTTACTTTATTCTCCTTTTTCTTATCCGGTGACGTCTCTCTCCACCACGTATCCACGGACGCCGTTTTGTTAGAATTATCTAGAATCTCCGGTGAAGGCGGCTTTTTCTCCGGTGGAGTAGCTTGTTCGCCGAAGAACATCATCATGTCCGGTGACTTTACAGGCAGATTCTGGTACGGTAATCCATGCTCTGATGGCCGAAGCTCCCGTGATTCTCCGATAACAATTGCAAGTAATAATGCTATTGATGTTACTAGTAATTTCGCCATTGGAGTCGATACGACGGCGTTTTGTGGATTTCTTGTGATCATATAATAATTTTCTAGTGTTTGGATTAAGGCTTGAAGATAGTATAGATAGTTTGAGAAGAAAGTGAGCGAGTAGAAGTAGTGAAAGAATGTGGAATGAGAGAGAGACAAAAAATGGAATTGGAAGATATGTTGTTGGGTTGTTAACGTGTTACTTCATCATTTTTTTTAGGAAATTTTGTGAAAAACTACCTATTATAATTCAGAATTTGCGAGAAACTACTTATTAAAAAAAATATTGTAATTGACTATCTAATTTTTTTTTAAAATGTTGTAATTTACTACCTTTACGCCAGATTATGAAGGACTTTGACCAAAATTCTCCGGCGTTGACTTGGTCACGTGACACTTGGTGAAAGAAAATGGTCATTAAGTGTCACGTGATGGTCACGTGACCAAGTCAACACCGGAGAACTTTGGTCAAACTCCTTCATAATCCGGCGTAAGGTAGTAAATTACAACTTTTTCGAAAATTAGGTAGTCAATTACAACATTTTTTTTAATAGGTAGTTTCTCGCAAATTTTGGACTATAATAGGTAGTTTTTCACAAAATTTCCTTTTTTTTATATAAAATTTACTTATTATACAATACCCCATAGCGAATAACAATATTAAGAGTCTGTTTACATCTGAACTGAACTGAACTAATTAAAGTTAAATTGAACTGAACTGAATATTTTATGAGAGATGGAAATTAGGAGCTAAACTAAACTGAAATAAAGTAAATGTGAACAACCCCTAAATGTCAAAATTATATACTCGTAATTTGGTATTAAAATTGTATTCTATTCTCATATTTCACTTTATTAGTGATTTTTAACGTGTAAAAAAATTAATTTATTAGACTTATTACAGAGTGTAAATCATATTTTTACATCAATATATATGTCTGATTAAATTTGCATTAGTATATAATTATACATGACAATTAAATTAAAGCACTTAAAAAACACGAAGGGAGTATATATTTAGACTTAAGGTTGGAGTATCGCGTGATTATATGTCGGTAAAAAACATGTTAAGGGCGGGGCCAAATGAAATAAAAACAGTTAATAAAGGAAGGGAGTGGAGCCATGAAGGAGTGAGAGGAGAGAAAAAGATATAAGAACGCCGCTGGGTTATTTGTCATATTTATTCTCCGATGATGACGGTGAAATCTTTGGTAATTGGCGGTAATAATAACCAACTCTTCCTCTTTCACTGCCTTTTTACTTTTTGACTTTTGTCCTTAATCTTGTGAGTACTACTTTTTTCGAGATTATTACATTATGTTGTCCAAAATTTTAAGCTTGGAAGTACTTTGAGTAACTTGTGGCCAGATAGCGGTGAGTGTAGGCTTTGGGGCCTGTTTTTAAAGAGTGTGGTGCATATGGCTGTGCCGGGTGGCTACCTTAATACTTGTGGTCCATGTGGTGATGTGGAGTATATATGTACGTATATTTGTACTATATATATAAATTATAACATAATGTTGTACTACAAGTAATATTTAAAATTTGATTACATAATGGTTTTATATAGAGTATAATCTTATTTACACCAAAAATAAAGGAGGTATGGTGAAATTTTAATAATTTTGGCCATTTGTTATCGGGTATAGAAAAAGGGTATGTTAGCATATAACATTATTACCTCTAATTGTAGTAGATGAAGGGTCTGTTCTTATACGTTGAAATTCAGTTCAACTCAGTTCAGTTCAGTTCAGCTCCTAATTTCCTTCTCTTATAAAATATTCATTCAGTACAGTTCAGTTCAATTCAGCTGAGTTCAGTTAATGAGAACAGACCCAAAATACTCCTAGAGGATCAACTCGACTTAAAAACTATTTTGAGACTTTTTTGTAAATTCATCTTTCTTTACTTAATATTTTTTTTTTTTTTTTTATACATAGTGATTAATTCAATAACAATTTGAGTTTTTGAGCACTTCAGTATTTCCATGAAAGCTAAGTGGGTATTCTGTATGCACAATTATGCAATGTTGATGCCTTCATCTTTGGATGGGCATTAGTTTTGTTGCAATAAGATGAAACTTTTATAGTAACATGTGTTTTGGAATTGTAATTGTGCTTTAAGCATTGTTTTATGTAAGATTGATGGTTGACATTTTTGCACTATTTATATACCATAGTTGACTTAATTTTTTCACCTCTATGATAAAATAAATAAATATTATTGTATAATATATCATTATATTCGTCATAATGTGTAGTTTCATAATATAATTTTGTTATAATATTTACTAATTAACAGTTAAAGAAATTAATTGTCAAACTTGTGTCTTGACAAATGTATCGGTCAAACTGATGCAAATAATAATAATAAAAAAAGCGAGTAACACCTAATGCATAATTCTATCATGCATTCTTATGTAATAAATGTTTGGAAAGATCCATTAGCTTATTTAATTTAAAATCACTATTAATATTGAGTTAACTTGTCTAAAATTTCATAATATTCCCATGATTATGAAATGGATGATTCGATTGATTCCTTATCTATCACTCTCATTGAAAAAAGCACCAAAAAATGGGCCGAGAAAATACCCTTCCACACAAACCTTACAATAAACAGGCCAATATTCATTTCGTCCACTTTTTTGCTTCCATTCAATCACTCGTACACTCTTCCTTCTTTCTTCCCCAACTTTCTAAATTAAACCTAGTCCACAACCCAATTTCCCCAAATTTAACACCAACAGTTTCCAGAAAACCCACTAATTTTCTGTTATCAAATTTCAATCATCAATGGGATTTCATTCAAATCCCTAATTTTTACCTGCAATTTCTGGGTTAAATTTGTTTTTAAGGAGTGACAATGTCGTTGAGGATTAAATCAGTGGTTGATAAGTTTGTTCAAGAATTAAAGGAAGCATTGGAAGCTGATATTCAAGATCGAATTATGAAGGAGAGAGAAATGCAGAGTTACATCGAAGAACGTGAACGTGAAGTCGCTGAACGTGAAGCTGCTTGGAAAGCCGAATTATCTCGTCGAGAGGTATATTTCAGCTCATTTTTCTTCAAATTCTTGTTGTTTGATGAAATTGTTTTTAGATTTCTGAATTTAATTGGGTTTTGGTTAAATTGGTAATTTGGTTGCGAAATTGGGGAATTAATGTGGTATTTATGTATGGTGTTGCTGACCTATTGATTGGTTAATTAGGGGTATTGCTAATTACTGTTTCAAGAAATTGTAGTGCTGATTTTGTTAAATTTTTGCCATTTGTTGATTATTAGGGTAGTTTTGCTGACCCAATTTTGAATTGGTATATTCTCAATTGGGTTGGATTAAAGCTAGTTATTGTTTTGAGGAAATTTCATGTTGATTTTGTTAAATTTCATACAATTGCTGACCCCGCTAGTCTGAGGTTTGCATAACTTGATGGGTTTGGAAAGACGAAACCATTGGCTAATGTGTAATGGATGGGTGTCCCTTGGGGTGTTAATAAGTGGTGTCATTAGCTAAGCCGCCATTGCGCATTTTCAAATAATGATAGTTATTGGTAAAGTTGCTTAATGTTAGTAAGGTTACTATGACTTTGTAATAATATATGACAATGAGAAGATCATCTCTCATTCGCTAAGGCAGGTTAAACCAATTTCCGAAGTTCTTTGCTTTTGCTCTCATAATAAGTTAGGAAGTCTTAGTTTAGTGTCACAGGTTCAATTGAAAACGCATCCATGTTTGCCGAATAGTTTCCTTGAATATTCATGCCTTGTATGGAATACAATCATGTTGTATAGAAATGCTGTTTCTAGTGTGAAGACTGTGAACTGATGCCTTTTTGGAATCAGGTGAAATTTGATATCTAAGTAGGTGAACTTTAGGATAGTTCAGAAATCAGAGTTGATAATAAGAAAGCTTATGAGATTTTTTTTTAATAAAAAATGGTGTAGTTTCTGTTGCGCAAATCTATTTAAGTTAATGTCTTGTGTCTCTTGCACCATCATTATAAGTTGGTGACAATTGTGCAGTACGTGTGTTGCTGATTCTTTTTTCTGCCATATCAGCTAATTTTTCTCTTTCTCATTGATTGTTATCTTTATTTATTCAGAGGAATTGATCTTGTTCTCTTTGTGCAGGCTGAGATTGCTCGCCAAGAAGCAAGACTAAAGATGGAAAGAGAGAATCTAGAGAAAGAGAAAAGTGTTCTCATGGGAACTGCATCAAATCAAGATAACCAGGATGGAGCACTTGAGATCACTGTCAGTGGGGAGAAATATCGATGCTTGAGGTTCTCAAAGGCTAAGAAATGATTGCTATTGGTTTCAGCTTACTTGCCTCAGTAGCTGCAATTTCGCCGAAATTTGGCTCTGTATGCTGCTTTCTGAGTAACTGTGTATGCATCTATGTGCAGAGCAAGTTTAAATTCATTTCAATGAATTGTTTTTGTGCATGGTAGCTTATAATTTCAATAGGAACTACATATACGTCTCTGTGGCATATTGTTTTTCAGCAATTGAAAGATGACCTGCAGTTACCAGAAGCAAAATATTTTGAATTCTTTTTCTTTCTCCCGGGTCATTTTTGTGTGGTTACCTGTTGTAGACTCCATGGTTTATTTGCCATTGCGGTTATGGAGTGCTGGGACACGCTATTGATTTTACATAATCACACATACTAGTATTCATTTGTACACTCACATTTGATACATACTAGTATACTTAACTCTTATTGAACCTAACAGTAAGGTTACAAGTATGGACCTTTCGTCTTTTCATGTTTCAACAGCATTACTGCTTCTTCCCTCGCTGTCAAACACCACCATTCACAGCGCCAAGACTATAGCTGGAGTTAAGCAGAGAATACTATTTCAGCCAAAAAATATCATCTGTAAACATACAACATAAAAATAAAAAATGTCACTCATTTGTCAAATGGAGTACCATCATGCAACTTCCCTTTCTACTTCTTCCTTTCTTTTTTCTCCATCTCCTCCAATAACGAAAATTCCCAGGTAATTTTTTTTTTTTTTTTTTTTTTTTTGGCAGGGCGCAAAACTACTCGATTAAAAGAAAAAAGATTTAGCTAAATGATTTTGCAAAAGAAAATTATTTAAAATTTTTTAATAGTAGCACGTGGTTGGAAGTTGTAACACAGTTCTTGACTTCAAACCTTTAAAGGGCTATTATAGAAATAACCGTCCACTAGCATAAATTCAGTAGAATTAAACCATGCAACTGCATAGCACTCTCTAACAAAAACGGTTCTTCAGTTACTACTAGGAGAACCAAAAACAATGAGCAGAATTTCCACAATCATCTACTACTTCTTGATCTATGCAATCTTTGCTAACACATTTTATCTAGGAAACTCAACAACTTTACAACACGGCAATGGCATTATCATCAATGTCAGAAGTTTTCGGGTTCGAGCTGATGGTAGAAGCGATGATAGTTGGGTAAGGGTTATTCATCTCTGTTAAAAAAACTGATCTTTGGTATTAAAATGGGATTAATGATTGATGTTGGTTTACATGATTTTGGATTAGGCCTTTAATGCAGCTTGGGAGAAAGCATGTAACTCTAAAGGCAATGTTACTCTTTTGATACCTAAAGGAACTTATCTTGTAGGACCTCTTAAGTTAAGAGGTCCTTGTGAGCAAGTAACATCTCTCACAGTATTACTCAAGGTAAAATAGATGAACAAAATGTGGTAGTTTTTTTAATGATAGCTTTTGATTTGATCTATAATTGTAGAAATGTTTGCTAGATTGAGGAAAATTTATTGATCTTTTTGTTCAGGGTACTTTGAAAGCGAAAACAGACTTATCTGAGTACGAATTTGGATCCGGGTGGATCGAGTTTGCCTGGATCAATGGGCTTACCTTGACAGGAGGTGGAGTTTTTGATGGTCAAGGTGCCAAAGCTTGGCCTTACAACACTTGCCCTACTAGTTCTAATTGTGACCTCCTCCCTACTGTATGTCACAAATTCACAATATTCTCTTACAAATTTTGATATAAGTACAGAACTTTATGTACTTAAATTCAGTTTCAATGTTGCAGTAGTACAGAACAGAAATCAATGAAAATGTTGATTTTGAACAAGACTAATAACTGTTTGTTTTGTACATTTTTATGGCAGAATTTGAAGTTTGTGGGTATGAACAGAACGACGGTTCATGATATAACTTCACTGAACAGCAAGTTTTTTCATTTAGCTCTTGTAGAATGCAGAGACTTTGAAGGGAGTAAACTTGAGATTTTGGCCCCTGAGGATAGTCCTAACACAGATGGCATTCACCTTGAACGTAGCTCTAATGTTCGTTTTTCTTGGTTGAACATTGGCACCGGGGATGATTGCATCTCTGTTAGACAAGGAAATTCCCAAATTTCCATCACAAATATCACTTGTGGACCAGGTCATGGTATAAGGTATAACCTACATTCAATCATTCATGTGTAGGACATCATTTTTTATATTCCTGATTTAGGCTAATCTAGTTTGTTGATTGTTTTAAGTGTTGGAAGCTTGGGAAAATACCTGCATGAACAAGATATAAATGGACTTTTTGTAAGAAATTGTACGATTAGTGGGACTACGAATGGGATTAGGATCAAAACATGGGCTAATTCTCCTGGTAGAAGCGCGGCTACTAACATAAAATTCGAGAACATTGTGATGAAGCATGTAAGGAATCCAATTATCATTGATCAAGCATACTGTCCCTTCGATTCATGTTCATCTGAGGTAATTAAGTCCCACATCAATATAATCTTTGTCCATCAAAATTAAGGTTAATGAGATAATTTAACAGACATTATGCAACTACTATGCAATTTTTTCTTGCAGGCACCATCAAGGGTGAGATTGAGTAACATATACTTTAAGAACATCAGGGGTACTTCACTGTCTGAAGTGGCTGTGACACTTTCATGTAGTAAGGGAATTCCATGCAAGAACATTTTCCTGCAGAATGTTCACCTGAATTTGACATCAGGGGAACGACTTCCTGTTTTGACATGTGAGAATGTAAAAGCAAGATACATTGGTATCCAGATGCCTCCTCCATGCCCTTAATAAGGGTTGTAGATTTTGTAGTAACATCTAACAAGTTGGCTGAGATTGATTTGTTGTATTAGTTAGTTGAGGGGTTTAGGTGGAACATTTTTGTGCTAATATTAATGTTTTCTAATGGAGTGAATGAGTAATTTAATTTTTTGTTGTAGGAGCATGACATCCTAAAACCTAAATTGTTCTACTCTATATAATAGTCCTTAATGACGAGTCTAAGGTTTGAGTATAACATGACTTTTCTTAAAGGTCCAATCGGACCTTAAGAATTAGGTTAGTACGAACTATTATATTTTAATGTGTGTCCCTATATCATTTAAGGTTGGCTTCACCTCTAGTTGGGGTGAGGTGGCAAGTAGCAAGAAAATGTGCCACTCGTGGTTTTCCTGTATGGTTTTTCCTTCCTTTTCTTTTTGACCATTTTTTCTCCTATTTCCAACTATAGAATTTGAAGTTAAGTTATACAATTTTGAATGAAGTTTCATGCAATCTTTAAAGTGGAAAAACTTATATTTCTTTCCTTGTGGATCTAGCACTTTCATGTTCTCTCTCGATTTTTTTAATTATTCAACCTCTTTAATCCAATAGGAAAATAAATAAAGTATGTAATTTTAGTAAGTGTATATAAATATCCAAGCACACCTATTAAAGGCGAACCTATCCACTCAAGGCATTGCAAGCAAATGGTTTTTGAAAAGAGCTCAAAATCACATATCAACATTTTTCTAGTGCATCAGCAAGGTTTGAATTTTTAGGTCTACTATAACTCATGTCATACAACCAATTAGAAAACCAACCGAACATAAATTTTTGTAGAAAAGAAAAATGTTTGTTTTCCCGTTATTTGTATAAGGGTTATGGAAGGATTAAATTGGGTTCTACTCCTTTTTTTAGGTTTCATTTTCATTTTTCAATGCATGTTTAATCATCAATAATTTCTCGTCGTCAAATATATGTCGACTATCATACATGTCCAAAATCATCATGACCCCAAGTGCACCTAAAAAACCCATATTCGATTATACGATACCATGATGCGTTGAAATATGTAACAAAAAACAGAGAATAAAACAATAAAGAAAAGTGGCATCTGTAAATCCCACTCTCCTGGATCATTCATTACCACTACCCACGGTTGCTTCTCCAAAAATTTTTCTGACCAATTTTCTCTCTCCTCTTCTTCGAATCTCCTCCATCTTCCTTCTTCTTCTTCTTCACTCAATTTCTCTCTCATACTCCCAAATTCAACAATACAGCTTTTTACAGAGAGAATATCAATGGAGAGTTCATCGGAAATGGTGCCATTTCCTCTGTTAATTGAATCCAATTACAGAGCTTGTACTATTCCTTACAGATTTCCGAATGATAACCCTAAAAAGCCGACTCCTACTGAAATTTCTTGGATCAATCTCTTCGCTAATTCCATTCCTTCTTTCAAGTAATTTCTTTTTTAATCTCATTTCTTGATGTTTGATTTTGTTTCAAAATTTGACTTTTTGAGATTTGCGAATTGGATGTTAGCGTACTGTTGTAGTGGGATTTTTTTATTTTCAAATTTTTAGCTGGTGTATTATTAATCAGATTCAATTCTTGTTGTCTTCACTGATTAAATGGTATTGTTTCATCAATTTTAGTAGAATTCAAGCATTATGATCATTAAAATTTGTCGTTTTTCTTTTTTATATATTTAATGTTTTTTGTGGAGGAGGTGGGGATTGGGGTCAATTTGACCATTACCAGGTGGACTGGTTCTTTTCTTCTCGAACTTATTAACCCGTATCTGAACTTATCTCGATTTATTTCAAGTGCTTATCGAACTCACTAGCATTATTGTGAATTAATTATACCTTAAATTTTTATCTTTGAGTGAAATCTGGAAAAATATAGTCTAATTCATTTTGTAGAGAAGCATTATAATTCTATACAGCTTAAATTAAATGTATTGGCTCTTTCATTTACGGGGGTTTGAAGCATTTATGTCTATGTAGAAGTGATGACTGATAAAAGTCATTCAACACATGATCCTGAAAGTTTAATGGAATTAAAAATTAGTAAAAAGTTTAGGCATTTAAGTTTCATTCTTCTCTACTAATTAGCTACAATCCGAACTTATTAATATGAACTTACTTGAATGTATTAGAACTTATTTTAGTTGTAAAATGAACGTATCAACTTATGCTCATCCATCAGTGGGAAAGAATCATAATTGATAATGTCGTCTCTTATAAAATCATGTTGCTGTATGATGCAGTTGTGAAGTTGTTGAATGCCTAACTTTATTTTATTGTCTATTTGGATAATTTATTTGCCATACAATGAAGCTTATAAAGAAAGGCTTTTGCTTGGTTCTGTTTCAGACAACGGGCAGAGAGCGATAACACAGTGCCAGATGCTAAAGTTAGAGCTGAAAAGTTTGCAGAAAGGTAGATTTTACACTCGAGTTTCTATGTGTTCTGAAGCTCTTCTCTGCATTGTTGATCTCCTAAAGTTGATGCAAATATCTCAAGAAGATTAGTTTATTCAAGTTGCTTGTGAGATTACATAATAGTTTTGTTGCTTCTTACGTTGCATGTTCTTTATTTGACATTCCCGTGAATCTTCTTCTGATTCATAATGTCTTACATGATTGACACCTTGCACTAATCTGTCCAGAAGCAATTTTTTAGTGCACTTATGTGCATCATGTAATTATTCTTCTATCTTAGTATTTGCCTATTTGGCCTAAAGACATAGTAGATTAGTAGCTTAAAGTTTTGTGGGAAAACTGGTATTCCTGTATCTATGGCTGGTGAAGAGTGTTAAATTTGTGCTAGAATCAGTACTTTGGAGTTCAGATTTTGAGTGTTTGTGTAATAATGGAAGTGCATTGTTTATTCGTAAACTTGTAATCCAAATAAAACTTTTTGACACCATCTGTATTTATGAAGATATGGTGAAATACTTGAAGATTTGAAGAAAGACCCAGAGAGTCATGGTGGCCCTCCTGACTGCATTGTAAGTGATAGTTGTAGCCTTATAGAAGTTCAGCTGAAATAGTTTTGTGACTTGTATATTTGATCCTGGCAATGTTCTCACTGTAGCTTTCCCTTTCTTCTGCAATGTAGCTACTTTGCAGGCTTCGGGAGCAAGTGCTTCGGGAATTAGGTTTTAGAGATATATTTAAAAAAGTTAAGGTAATATATTTGGTTATTGATAATTTTCTAGCTCTTCCAGTGTTTAGATCATCACATAAAGTCTGCATTAAAAAAAAAATTATGAGATGAGTTTGATACTTGTGCTGTTGTACAGTTGGTCAATATGTCTACTGATAATATCGTTTCTATAATATGTAGGATGACGAGAATGCAAAGGCTATATCTTTATTTCGCAATGTGGTGAGTCTTAATGATGCTATTGAGGATCCAGTTAAACGCTTGGAGAATCTGGTCAAAGGAATATTTGCTGGAAACATATTCGACCTTGGCTCTGCAGAGGTACTCCTACTTTGTGTTGTATACGTTGATCAGTCTTCTTAGAACTTGATATGATAAATTATTTTGCTCCTCTTAAAAATACAATTAGCCAGAAGTATTGGATTGGAATATTTTTTTTTTAAATTTTATTTTATCAATATAAGCACAAAAGGTTCATCTGCAATCTGCTCTTCTTTCTGTTGTCAATGTAAAGTGTTGACTTGCTGATTTCTTATGCACTGTATACTTTGTAGCTTGCAGAGGTATTTTCAAAGGATGGGATGTCCTTTCTGGCCAGTTGTCAGAACCTGCTTCCTCGACCTTGGGTAGTTGATGATCTTGACACTTTCAAACTGAACTGGAGTAAAAAGTCTTGGACAAAGGTGAGTTCTTAATTGGATTAATAGTGCTGCATTCAAATTTGTTCTATCTTACGCTCCTAAATCTCGCGCTGACAATCAGTCTGTTTACTTCGATATGACAGGCTGTGTTTTTTGTTGATAATTCTGGTGCAGATATAATCTTGGGAATTTTACCATTTGCCAGGGAATTACTACGCCGCGGTACACAGGTTTGTTTTTGCAAGATTTGCACACAATGCCTCTTAACACTGGTGCACACACGTCTGCACTAACACATCTACTTGAAGGATTGCAGTCCTCCAGAATCTGAAGTCTTCCACATCACTTATCAATACAAAATCATATAAAATTGGTCCTCAACCATATGGTTGGCTCACACTGTGACATACTGTATTTATTGAATGCCAATGAATTCTTTCCTGTTACAGTTGTCTTGCAAATCTGTGTGGTTTGTCTTTGTCAATGAACTGTATGTATGGAAAGTTGGGCCTGTTGCAGGCTGAGAATGGTGCTTGACAGACTATGATATGGCTTGTTTCACAGCTAGAGAATTATCTTTTTTAATGTGGCTTGTTCTTGTAAATCAATCTTGTTTGTGTTTGATAGGACAATATTTCTTGTCAATCAACAAAGTGAGGTTTAATATGGAGCTGTCTCAAAGAAAATAGTGGTTCATTTTAAAAACGATGAGGATTGGAAGAGTATAAGAACTTAATACCAAATGTAATTAGAAAAAGGAAAGGAAGTATCAGGGGACACCTTTTTTGACCTTCTGAAGAGTAGGATTTGAGAAAAAAAAAAAAAAAAAAAGATAAAACCTCAACTGCTGCAATTGGTGATGTGTTTGTGGCCCTTTAATATAGAAGATTGTGCAATGAACTACTCCCTCGACCTTGGATTGCACTGACTTATGATTGGATAGGGGAACAATCTCTTTCAGCTTTAGGTAACTCCTTTAATTTCTATACACATAACAAAAATATATGGAAACCAGAAAGCTAAGAAAGGTGAGCAATACACTTAAAGACTAATAACCTTTGAAAACTGATTTAAAGGATGACGAGAAAAGGGGGTAAAGAGGAAGAAGAGATATGGTTATTTATGGAAAATATACTTTGAAATTTATAAAATAAGACTCGAGCATGCATTTATTGTCTAGAAGACTAGAAGCTTTAATTTTTGGTTAGCTGTATCTTTCTAATGATTAGCTTTGAGATTATGTTAATATTTTATATATATTGTCTGCCAGATGATTCAACTACCTTGATTTCAACATATTGTAATGCTGCTTTTCAATTAATTTGCTGCAGGTTATTTTGGCAGCCAATGAATTGCCTTCTATCAATGATGTTACATATACAGAATTGTTTGATATTTTATCACAGGTAATTTTGCATCTCACACTGTCTTTCTTAAAATCTGTCCATTTGTAGGGCCTCTCAATTTATGGGTTTGCTGGTATTCCTGTTTTCTTTATCAGTTGAAGGATGAAAATGGACAACTCATGGGTGTCGATACTTCTAAACTCTTGATTGCCAATTCTGGCAATGATTTGCCGGTCAGTTAAAAGTTTTAAATTTAGCCTTCAGAATTCGAATGCATTTTCTTCTAGAAACTGTTGTATGATGTCCTTCGTATTAACTTTCTGACAGGTCATTGATCTTACAAGCGTGTCGCAAGAACTTGCATATGTAGCTAGTGATGCTGACCTAGTTATTCTGGAAGAAATGGTATGTTAATTTGCCATGCTTCTGATGATTTTTGATGTATGTGTATACCATAAAACATGCATCTACCCATCAACAAATGTGCAGTATGGGCCAGATGGTCTACTTTTAGCTAACACAAGAATACTGCCTGACTGAATCACAGAACTCTAGCTCACACATTTCTGTAGGGGTTCGATGTTGTCTCCTTAAGTACTCTAAGCTGGACTGATTGGTTCATCATGAATTCTCAAACTATTTGTCTTACTAGTTACCAGTGTTGATCCCCTTTATATATGAAAAGTATATGTTTTTTCATTTTTGGTAACACCAGGCTTTAGAATTTCTGAACTTAAGAGCACACAGGCGCTAGTGAAGCTGCAGGACAAACTAAGCCCAGCACTCAGTCTTAAATCCAATTGAGGGGTCAATAGACAAGGGCACAACATATGATCTGGCAATCTCAGCAGATTTCTGATTGCTGTCTGGGCCTTTCAGCGTTGTTCTCTTTGCTTCTTTTGTAGTTGTTATAGGTGATTGGATTCTGTTAGAGTGCTTTGCAGTCATGCAGAGAATTCAATTTTCAGAGTTAGCATAATTAGGGTATAGTAGTGTCATAGTGTGTGTATTTGCAAGGCCATGTTTTAAAGTCATAACAACTAGGATTTGAATTTTCCAACAGAGGTCCCTTCAACTGGGCTTTTAACCTTTACTTCTGTATCATGATTAAGATTTACTACTTCCACACCTCTTTTTCATATTATCTTTTGCTTAAGAAGACTATAAACTACTCTGTATTATTCCCTTCTTCCCATATTTTTAGCAGCACCCTTCCTTATTGGCCCATCCCATATTACTTGCAATACTTCCATTTATTTCATGGATTCAATATTACAAATTATTTTAATGTTTCTCTCCTTCCTTTTTGGACCAACATCTATTCCACTTTCCTAATAAAAAACATTAATAAAGTAAACCCATCCAGTAACTATAACCCCAAAAAACTGCTGTCAGTTCTTTTTATGTTGTAGTTGGTTAATGGAAACGAGTTATTTAAGAAAAATTTGAAAATGGTTAGAGTATATTTTGGACTTCACAATTTGCCAAGACTAACATACCTCTCTTAATCTATTTTCATCGTTCCCTCAGGATTTCTTAGTCATCAAAACTTCCTGTTGCAATTTTAGGTTTTTCTTTATTTAAGCCAGAAAACTAGAATAGTTATTTGTTCTCAGCTTTCGTTTTATTAATGTGATAAGTGTGAATATGACTAATTTTAAGTTCTTGGTACAACGCATATCAACCACAATGGATACCTTAGAACAAAAGCTGAAATCTAGAGTTTGTAGAGTTGATGCCTTTTCTTTCTTTCTTTATGTGTGTGTGTGTGTGTGTGTGTGTGTGTGTGTGTGTGTGTGTTATGTTTATTTTTATTGTAGCAACTTATATTACCAGTTTTGCTGATAAATCCCCAAAATTGCTATAAGAGCTTTGGTATTGGACTGTGTATCTAACTTTCATATAATTCTGATTTGGATTCCTTGTCACTTTTGCAGGGGCGTGGAATAGAGACAAATCTGTATGCTCAATTCAAGTGTGACTCCATCAAGATTGGAATGGTATATATATGGTTTATGCCCCTATCATCTGTCTTTAGTTCAGGAAAATTTCACATGCGTAGAGAAACTTACTCATCCCTTGTGCTGGTCACAGGTAAAGCATCCAGAAGTTGCCCAGTTTCTAGGAGGAAGGCTTTATGATTGTGTCTTCAAATACAATGAGGTCTCTGATTGATGTAAATCTTTGATGCCCCCCCAAAAGAATCATCTTTTACTCTCATTCAAATATCACAGATGTACAATATCAGGTCCTGGTGACGTGCTGGTTTTCCTGTACAGCATATTATTAGTATTTCCTAGAGTATTTTGCATTAAACCCGAGGCTGATTCGCTCATGTCGAATGCCATTTTGACAGGCCATTTTAGGGTCTTATTTACACATTTATCGGTATGCTAATGCTCTAGCTGTGGGAACAAAAATACTTTCCATTCTTTTATTGTACTCAAGAACAGTAATACTAATGTGAGAACCAGGAAGATTTCTGAATAAAATGTTATTGAATTTCCATATTTCTAATGAGAAATACACAGAATGATGTCTATCATATTCCAATGATAAACTTTGTATAAACATTTACACTTATTATTGTTTGTTGCTTGGATTGCTGCAAAGGCAGGAAGAAGGGTGATTGAGGAAAGAAACATCTGACAAAATTATCATTTCTTCTTGGTTGGATAAGATGCCATTTTGTTAATACCACACAGTCCCTCGCGGTGTCCAGTATTTCTCTTCATTCTTATGTATCCTTGTTCTCCCCATTTTGGTCCCCATGAGTTCTTCACAATGATGTAATCTGATCCCTTTGTTGAACCGTACCCTACAGCTGTTACTCCGTGGTCTAACATCGTTTCACAAGGCCCGTCAAAAACTCCCTGCACAAAAGGAAAAAAAAAAAAATTAAGCTGGTACGCAGTAAATATCTGAGGTCCATTTTCAAAGATGAATCAAGGAAGGGTGAAACCCCCCTTTCCTGCAGTCTGTTTTGCTGTCTTTTTTGGTTATGAACAGTATCTGATGAATGATGTAGAAATTTGTGCAGGAGAGCTTACCCGCTGTAAAATTGGAAGTCTCTCCCAGAAGCACCAATTCCGACACTAATAGGTTGGTGAGCGAGTGCCTTCAATAGACTTGCTTCATCATTCCTTGGAACATCTCTGTGACCATTAATGGTCACTACTTCCATCTTTTCCTGTGAAAATGTCACATAATATAGACAAAATCGATAGATGAGCATGTTTTCTAGCATTATCTCCTAGCAGATGTGGTTTAGGCTTCTGTGTAGCATATACCTTTTTTGTTTCACAAGTTCCTTCCTCCATAAGATAAGGATAGTCCTCCTCCTTGTGAAGTCCACCATTAGAGACTATAAACTTAAACGCGTTATCCATTAGCCCACCATTGCAGCCATTATTGCTAATATCACAGTCTATCAGTTGTTGCTCAGACAGTGAGGTTAGGTTTCCTGTGACAATCTGATTTATGCCCTCGACTGCAGCAACAGTTGAAAATGCCCAACAACTTCCTGCAGTATTGAAATAAAATCAAAGTTCATGAGAAACTTCGAGCTATATACTGTAGCGATTTTGAGTTAATGAGGAACATTTTCAGCTTACCACATGCACCCTGGTTCTTGACTGGTGTAACAGCTCCTTTCGTTCTCCAATCTACAGACTTTGGTATACTCTTTACATCTCTGTAAGTGAAGTCTTCTGAAGAATCCACCTGTTTTTCTTGTGCAATTTTCAAGCCTAAGTACTTATTCTTGAACTCTTGATGGGTCAAATCTGCAAACTCATTCAAGCCAAGCCAATAGCTGCTAATACGCTTATTACTCTCATCAATATGTTTCAAGTTATCTTTGAATGCCTCGAACCTAAGCAGCTTCTCTTCGAGGCTATCATAATTTTTCAGGTGCTTTGACATCCATGTTACAAATAGATTGTGGAGTCTCTCTTCTGAACCCAAGTCATCGGGGGAGTAACCAACGATTGAGAAGTCATGAGCGAAAGCTGGATACGCAACTAGAAACACAATGAAGGTGAAATAAAAGATTGTTTTAAGTGGATATGACATTGTTGATTTGGAAGTAGTAGTAGTAATGTGTGAGGTTGGATTGGTTTGATATGTGCAGAGCTTGATAGGATATTTATATGCTATGGTTTATGTAGCTTATTGCTTAGAAGTAAAGATGAGATTAATATCTAAGATAACCAAAACTTTAAGGATGGATCTTTTCTGATATACTTTAGTTGCAAGGTATTCCATTGTTTGTTGGCAGCATAGTTAATTAAATATGATCAATGGGTACCATTTGCTTATTATACTACTCTTTGTGCATCATATTCTTGACTTCTTGCAACAACTTTCTCACCCCATAGGCAAATTAAGATTAATGGTAGAAAAAAAATGGTTTGAAAGAACTGTAAAGACAATGATGTAGACGGAATTCAATCTCAGGTTTTGAGTATTTCCCTAAAAACTTAAAACTAAACTAGTTGGTATTATTTTTGTATATATTTTATCAATTCTTTGGTATTGAACTAGTGATCATCACAATTCCAATCCTATAACATGATGCACATCATGTTTTCAAAAGAATTAAATAAAGGAATACACAATTAAAATTAAAAGAACATACTTTTTTTTTTTAATGTTTCTTGATCTTTAATCACATTTTTTTTTGTGTGAACTTTTTTTTTATTGTAATTTTTTACATCAATTAATTACTGTATAACCTTTAATTTTGAATGCCTTCAAAAAAAAAAAAAAAAACAAATAAACTTTTATTTTGAACCGTATTGGTTTTTGGTTTTTTTTGGACAGTATATTCTGTCGGGGTAGAGCTCAGCCCAATAACCCAGTAGACCCGAAAACAATTACTTGCCCAATTTCACCCATCAACAATTCCTCATAATTCACTGTCTCTCTCTGTATCCTCTTCCTCTCAATTTCTTCTCACATTTTCAAATCAACTTCATCATCAAATTTCGTTGAAGAAAAATCCAAAATTTTCCGACTTTAACCTTATTTATAACAAAAATCACACAATTGGAGCAATTTTCCAAATAAATTTACAATCTTTACCCACATTTTATACACTCTTCTTCATATCCTATTCTGCTTAAATTCATCTTATTACAAAGTATTTCATATTCATACTGATTGAATTTCTTACCCTAGTTCTAATTTGTTTATTATACTTGATGGGTCGTTTTCCATTCTGTTTAAAATTGGGAGGAATTAAAGTTATAGAATTTATGCCCTATTTATCATCCAATCTCTGCCCAAAAAGAGCAATTTCATTTGCAATTAAACCCCACCAAAACCCAATTGTATCATTTACAAGGAATTTGCCAAATTTAAGGGTTTATCATCAAAGAATTCTGGGGTTTTCTTCTGCTGCAGGTGAGAAAATTGGAAGTGTGTGTGATAATCTTGGTGAAAATGAAACTGGGTTTTTGAAACTATCAGATGAACAATTGATGGGTCAATGCGAAATGGAGACATTCAAGTCTTCTGGGCCAGGTGGGCAGCATCGAAATAAGAGAGAGAGTGCTGTTCGTCTTAAACATCTTCCAACTGGGGTTATTGCTCAGGTTTTGTGAAATGTTTTTCTGTTTGTGTATTTTATGTGTTGTTTGTGTATTTTGTTATTGGTTATTTGGTTTATGATTGTTTTGTGTTCAATGTTTAGGCAGCTGAGGATCGATCACAGCATATGAATCGTGCCTCGGCATTGGCCCGGCTTCGCGCTCTTTTAGCTCTTAAAGGTGAGATGTTGATTTTATGTACCTGTATTGCCCTTTATTTGATTGTTTTAGTTTGGTTGTTCTGAATTTTAAGTTTGGAACTTTGAGTTAGATTATGAGGGTTTTGCATTATATCAATGGCATTTGTAAGGTGATGTGGAGAAATTTGTGAATCAAGTTGATAGGTGCTTTTGCGAAAATTTCCCAAAATCCTCATGTAGTGATTACGAAATTGTTCTGTATCATACGTGTCAATGGTTTTGAGGCGCAGCGATGCTCCAACTGCTGCCATACTCTCACAATCTCTTCCTTTGATTGTATGTTACTCCCTCCATTTTTAAATACTTGCTTCATTTCTCCATGCGCGGAGTTTTAGGAGAAAGTAATAAAATATGGAGTTAGTGGGGTTGGTGGAAGAATAAAAAGTTGTAGAAAGCAAAAGTAGTGGAAAGAATTGGAGGAAAGAGAATATATATTGGGTCCAATAGGTGAGAGAAATTAATTAAATATTGTAAAAGCTTTCCAAATAAGGAAATGGAGCAAGTATTTAAAAACGGCCGCAAATGGAAATTGGAGCTAGTATTTACAAACGGAGGGAGTAGTTTGAAGCCCTTTTTATAGTTGAATATTTAAGTATGATGCATAAGCTTAAAATTTTTCAAAAGACTTGTGAATCAAGTAGACTTGTACTCCTAGTTGTTTCAGGCTTACTTCTTGTAACTACATGATTATAAACTTATAGTTAGTCTTTGTGAGTAGAATGTTTTCTGTATGAATAATGTAAGCAAATGACCATTTATTGCACCTCGAATGTAGAACATTTAGTGAAAAACTAGTTGTGCCTGGAACTATGGTTTCTCAAAGCCATGAAATATAGGCTTCAGTGCATCTTCACGTAGTAATGCTTTGTATCAAAGGAGGCTTCTCAAAGGAGTAGTGTTGTCCTGTAAAATATGGGTAATTTGGGGAAGTCATTAGGTAACTTGATTTGTCTTCTTTGTGATGCTCCTTAAGTTCAGTGTTGGTTGATTGCCCCAAAGAAATGCTTGGGCATAATAGTTTTCATATTGGTTTTCCGAGAGGCAATTTTAGATCTAGCTACATGTACGGTGTAGCCCGTGTAGGTGGCCAATTTAGTTCTCAATAAAATTATATGACTGTCTTTGTTGGTGTCAAACTGTCAGCTAGTGGTATGTTAGGTATATTAATTATGTGCCCAAGAGGACTGGGCCTGATGGCAAATTTAAGAGCCTATTCTCTAATCCTAAACGGATTTTACGGCATAATTTTGTTATAACTTATAACCCCCTAATTAAGCTTAAGGAGCAACTGTCTGATGTCATACAAAATTTAGGTTGCTTGACATTTTAAAGTCGCTCTGGAGTGGGGGGGGGGTATCCAATTAGAATTCATTTGAGATCTTTAGATATGACTTTGTGTCAATCCTGTGTTTGCATGGTGCAAACTTCAGGAGCCTTCCCTCAACATTTGTCAAGATTCGTCGTTGATTACAGAATGACATTTTAGGCATGAACTATAGCCTTCAAGGCTTCAAATTAGACTTTCTGAGGGGAAAAAAAATGGGTCCTTGGTTAACATAGCTAAAAGAGTTGCAGGAAACCTTCCTTCTAACTATGCATTGTAATGATCTTGGTTAACATAGCTAAAAGAGTATGCAGGAACCCTTCCTTATAATTATGCATTGTAATGATGTGTCAAAAAGGTTTCTCATCCATGACCTGAGGCCTTTTCTAGGGTCTACTAGTTTTAGATCTGGTGTCACCTATGCTTCATGAGGCTTAATTATTGAGCTGCTTAAGTTCTTGGTGAGCTCATCACCAGCTTGAACCAAAATCTTATGCTTGATTTTGTGTCCTTTGAATACGCTTTCCTTGGTGATGGAAATTTTATGTTTTTAAGATGACTAATTCAAACCTTAGGAAATCCTGAAATGATGCTTTCAGAATCATCTATCCCATAGTTATCTAAGATTTTCAACGAATCTCCTCAACACTCTGAAGGTCTTTTGATCATGACTATAGGGTTCTTTACTGTATCAACTAGTATTGTGACACTAATTTGAAATGACTTTGGCCTTTCTTAATCTTCTGTATGACAGTAAGAAGACCTGTGGATCTCAATGCTTATTCTCCTCCACCAGAGCTTCTTCAAATTCTTCCAACAAAATCTACTATCAGGGGATCAGAATGCGGCCCACAAATTAAATCCAATAATCCAAAATTTGTTGAGGTGATTCATATTTTTATCAAACATCTAAATTCACCCCCATATTTTAAAACAATAATACAAAGGTTTGTAAGACCAAATTTCTTTTTTATGTGCTCAGGGTATGCAAGCATTATTAGATTTAATCTATGCAGTTGAAGGTTCTGTATCAGATGCTTCCAAGTACTTGGGGTAACGTCATAATGTATTTCTGTAAATTCTGTCAACTTTTATATATGCCTTGCTTTGTGTATAGGTACATGGTATTTGTTTTTGTGAGTTAGAGAGGTTCATGGTATTTGCTTTGTGTAAAGATTCAATTATGACTCCCTAAAATCTGAATGTGCATCTGTTACTATGTAACTGCTATGTACTTGCAAAGCTAATGTGGAATCTCTTATTGCTATAAGATGAATCACTATTTTGCCTGTGTATCCTCTGATCTCCTGATTAGTTTTTAAGTATTGAAAGTCTTGACTTTAGGACCATATCTTATTGTTGACCTTGTAGTCTTACATTAGGATTTAAATGCATGAAGGAGGTCCTAGAAAAAATTTATACAGTTAGAATACTCATCTAGCACAAAGGTAAGCTTGTATGTACACCTACTGTTTATTTAAAGTTGATTATATTGCTATTTACTTGTTGAACTTGTAGGATGAGCACAGGGGCACTGTCACGGCTTATTCTCTCTGATGACAGCCTTCGAGGGGCAGTAAATGAGTTAAGAGCTTCAAAGGTAACAACTCAAATTATTTAGGGTTTGTTTGGCATCATTTTTGGTTTTTAGTTTCCTGTTTTTTTTAAAACTAAAAACCAAAAACATGAAACAAGAAAAAGGTGTTTCCATTTTTTTTGTTGTCAGTTTTCAAAATTATTATGATTTTAATAAGTTTAAATAATTTTTTATTCATTATGTGACATATATCATATATTTTTATAAAACAAAAAACCAAAAAACAGAAAGCCACAACAATGCCAAACGAACCCTTAGCTTTTACATGGCTATGGGTTAATTGTCACACTTGGTTGTGTTCAAGTTACGTATTCTGAAGTTCGACAGCTCTATAACCATGTGCATATATTGTATTCATAATAGAGCTGTCAAAAACTGACTCGACTTGAGAATTCGACCTGAACCGGCAATGATTTGAACCTAACCTGTACCCGGACAATGGGTTGAAACTAGTGACTTGTAACCCGGAACCTGACCATATGTTAACCGACAACCAATTTGGTCTAATACTTTTTTACCTGAACCCAACCTGAGAGTAACTGTCAACCGATTTAATAGGACCTAACAACAATCGGAACTCGAACTAGTACCCGACCTAATTAGAACTTGTACCCGAGTCATGGAAGGTTTAATAAATTTTATATGCCTTTTGTTCAACTTATATACTGGTGCAAATCTGTAAACCCACAATCCGATTCAGCTTGTATACCTTTTGTTCTCTATTACTCATATATAGGTTTAATAAAATCTTGATAAAGCTGGTCAAATTATGGAAGGCGTAATAATATAGGTTCAACTTGAGTACATCAATATTTATTGTAATTGAACCTGAACCAAAACCCAACTCAACACTAACTTGAACCCAAATGTACCATCTCACCCACTTAAACCTGACTCACACACAACCCGAATCTGAAATTGAATCTGATCTGAATTTGGCTCGAATTGAACCAGACATATGTCCGGAAAGGTGAACGATCTAAAAATAAACTCAACTGAAATTGACCCGACCCGAACTTGAACTTGATATAAGGCTAGATTAACCCGACATAATCAGATCCTAATTTAACCCGAGACATGATTTGATCCAACCCAAATCCGACTTGAATACTCGAATCGACAACTCTACTATAATACACGAAATCGGAGCGATTTAGGAGGTGTCGGGATCTGGTGTTGGAATTTCACGAAACACTACGGAGTGAATCCCGGGATCATATAATATTGTGTGGACCCATATATGACCATTATCCGACGACGTAAAGGCTCCGTGAAAGCTAATAGCCAATACAAAAGGCATGTACGATAACGGGTAAAGTGACCATTTAAAGGCAAATTGGATGGTTCCACCCACCCAATTAAACTCTCGGAGGGTATTAGGGACCATGGTAAACATCTCGGCAATTTTTTATTTCTAGGCGAAAACAAGTCAAAAAAATTACAAAATTAAAAGGCTATATAATCCACAGTTTTTGAGGAATTTTTGAGGTTTCGGGGCCCGATGGGGAAAAGTGTTGTAGCCCTAAAGCTGTCAAAAACTGACCCGACCTGAGTACCTGAACTTAACTGACAATGATCTGAACCCAGCCTCTACTCGAACAATGGGGTGGATATAGCCTTCAATTTTGCCATTTTTCGCCACAGGGCCCCAAAACCTCAAAATTTCCATAAAAAGCGTGGATTATAGCCTTCAATTTTGTTAATTTTTGACCTTTTTTGCCCGGAAATAAAATTTGCCGAGATATTTACCATGGTCCCTAATATCCTCAAAAGAGTCCAATTGGGTCAGTGGAACCATCCAATATGCCCTTAAACGATCATTTTACCCGTTCAGAACTTGAAGTCATTTCGTAAACTCAAGCCTACCACAGACGTTTATGGCAACATATAATGATCATATGTGGTTTCAAACGGAATAATATGACCCCGAGATGTATCCCTTAGGGTGTCATAGCTTTTCGCTACCGGGCCCCGAAACCACAATATTTCCTCAAAAAAAAAAACGTAGATTATAGCCTTCAATTTTGTAAGTTTTTAACCTTTTTTCGCCCGGAACTAAAAATTGTCAAGATGTTTACCATTATCCCTAATACTCTCCAGAAGTACAATTGGGTCAGTGGAACCATCCAATATGCCCTTAAACGGTCATTTTACCCGTTCACAACTTGTAGTGATTTCGTAAACTCAAGCCTACCACAGACGTTTATCACAACATATAATGATCATATATGATTTCAAACAACATTATATGTCCCCGAGATATATCCCTTAGGGTCTCAAGTTTTTTCGCCACAGGCCCTTAAACCTCAAAATTTCCTTAAAAACCGCAGATTATAGCCTTCAATATTGTAATTTTTTGACCTTTTTTCGCCCGGAAATAAAAATTACCAAGATGTTTACCATTAAACGGTTGGTGGAACCAGCTTAAATGCCCTTAAACGGTCATATTACACGTTCACAACTTCTATTGATTTCGTAAACTCAAGCCTACCACGGACAATTATGACAACATATATTGATAATATGTGGTTTCGAACGACATGATATGATCCAGAGATGTATCCCTTAGGGTTTCAAAGCTTTTCGAAACCGGGCCCCGAAACCTCAAAATTCCTCAAAAAGCGTGGATTATAGCCTTCAATTTTGTTATTTTTTAACCCTTTTTCGCCCGGAAATAAAAATTGCCGAGATGTTAACCATGGTCCCTAATATTCTCCGGGAGTCAAATTGGGTCGATGGAACCATTCAATATTCCCTTAAATGGTCATTTTACCGTTCACAACTTCTAGTGATTTCGTATACTCAAGCCTACTACATACGTTTATTACAACATATGATGGTCATATGTGCTTTCTAACGACATTTTATGACCCCGAGATGTACCCTTAGTGTCTCAAGGCGGGCCTCGAAACCTCAAAATTTCATCAAAAACCGTGAATTATAGCCTTCAATTTTGTAATTTTTTTTTACCTTTTATTGGCCTTCAAATAAAAATTGTCGAGATTTTACCATGGTCCCTTATATCCTCCGGGATTCCAATTGGGTCGGTGGAAACATCCAATATGCCCTTAAACGGTCATTTTACCCGTTCACAACTTGTAGTGATTTCGTAAACTCAAGCCTACCACGGACGTTTATGACAACATATAATAATCATATATGGTTTCAAACGGCATTATATGACCCTGAGATGCATCCCTTTGGGTTTCAAGGCTTTTCGCTAGAGGGCCCCGAAACGTCAAAATTCCTTAAAAAGCGTGGATTTATAGCCTTCAATTTTGTATTTTTTTTTTTGACCTTTTTTCGGCCGGAAATAAAAATTGCCGAGATGTTTACCGTGGTTTCTAATATTCCCTAGTAGTCAAATTGGGTCTTTGTAACCACCCAATATACCCTTAAATGATCATTTTACCCGTTCACAACTTGCAGTGATTTCGTAAACTCAAGCCTACCACGGACGTTTATCACAACATATAATGATCATATGTGGTTTCAAACAAAATTATATGACCCTGAGATGTATTAATGTATCCCTTAGGATCTCAAGGCATTTCGCCACAGGCCCCTAAACCTCAAAATTTCCTTAAAAATCGCAGATTGTAGCCTTCAATTTTGTAATTTTTTTACCTTTTTTCGCCCGGAAATAAAAATTTCCAAGATGTTTACCATGGTCCCTTATACCCTCCGAGAGTCAAATTGGGTCGATGGAACCATCCAATATTCCCTTAAGCGGTCATTTTACCTTTCACAACTTCTAGTGATTTCGTAAACTCAAGCCTACCACATACGTTTATTACAACATATGATGGTCATATATGGTTTCTAACGACATTTTATGAAACCGAGATGTACCCTTGAGGTTTCAAGGCTATTCGTCATCGGTCCTCGAAACCTCAAAATTTCATCAAAAAGTGTGTATTATAGCCTTTAATTTTGTAATTTTTTTGACCTTTTTTAGCCTTCAAATAAAAATTGTCGAGATGTTTACCATGGTCCCTAATACCCTCCGGGAGTCCAATTGGGTCGGTGGAAACATCCAATATGCCCTTAAACGGTCATTTTACCCGTTCACAAATATGCAGTGATTTCGTAAAAACAAGCCTACCACGGACGTTTATGACAACATATAATGATCATATATGGTTTCAAACGGCATTATATGACCCCGAAATAGGCGAGATGTATCCTTTAGGGTTTCAAGGCTTTTCGCCAGCGGGCCCGAAATGTCGAAATTCTTTAAAAAACGTTGATTATAGCCTTCAATTATGTATTTTTTTTTACCTTTTTCGGCCGGAAATAAAAATTGCCGAGATGTTTATCATGGTTTCTAATATTCCCTAGGAGTCAAATTGGGTCGTTGGAACCACCCAATATGCCCTTAAACAGTCATTTTACCCGTTCACAACTTGCAGTGATTTCGTAAACTTAAGCCTACTACAGACGTTTATCACAACATATAATTATCATATTTGGTTTCAAACGGAATTATCATTTCGCCACAGGCCCCTAAACCTCAAAATTTCCTTAACAAGCGCAGATTGTTGACTTCAATTTTGTAATTTTTTGACCTTTTTTCTCCGAGAAATAAAAATTTTCGAGATGTTTACCATGGTCCCTAATACTCTCCGGGAGTCAAATTGGGTCGATGGAACCATCCAATATTCCTTTAAATGGTCATTTAATCTTTCACACCATCTAGTGATTTCGTAAACTCAAGCCTACCACATATGTTTATTACAACATATGATGGTCATATATGGTTTCTAACGACATTTTATGACCCCGAATGTACCCTTAAGGTCTCAAGGCTAATCGCCATCAGGCCTCGAAACCTCAAAATTTCATCAAAAACCGTGATGTTTAGCCTTTAATTTTGTAATTTTTTTTAACCTTTTTTTCGCATTTAAATAAAAATTGTCGAGATGTTTACCATGGTCCCTAATACCCTCCGGGAGTCCAATTAGGTCGGTGGAAACATCCAATATGCCCTTAAACGGTCATTT